CACTCCAACCACCACATCAAAGCCACTGATGCCCCAGCTCCATTAACCCCTGCCTCCCCACCGCCCACCACCGGCCACCCCATGCCACCCCTCTCCCATCCCACCCCCAACTGCTTTCCTCTGCCCAGACCTGGACATTGGCCTTTCCACCTCCTCACGCTTTTCTCCTTCCCAACGCTCTCTCAGGAGAGGCAGGGTCTTTCCCTTCCCTGACGGACTTCAACATATAAGAGACTTCCTATTGATCAGGGCTATATGAGGCCAAAGAGTGGATGCACTGACCTTCTGGATACCCTGAGGAGAACCTGTCATATGCCTTCTGCTCTCCCTTACTGAGGTGGGGAGCACCCATGTGAGAGTGAGGGTGTAGGAGCAGAAGGAGACTGTGGAAGGCCCTGTACCCCTTCCCTGACCCCCACCCCATGGCAAGCAGGGTGAGATGCTCAGCGGGAAGTAGACTCTCAGCTTCAGTGCTCAGCATTCTGTGTGCCTCAGGCCACCTCTTGTCCCTGGACTTTGTTGGACTTCTCACTGTGAGTGAGAAGATTGGACCAGATGATCTTGAAGTCCTTTTTTGGTCTCATTTCTGGATTAAATGGAGGGCTCAGAGCTGGAGGATCCAGCCAAAGAGGTCAGGTGGAAAACAGGAGAAGAACCCTTCCAGTGACCTTCCCTGCACCAGTTCTTCCTCAGGCCTTCCAGGGGAAGTACCCACGGTCTCCCCTCCCATGCCACTCCAGGCAGGAAGGAGGACTCGGGCTAGAGGGCACTCTCCCCAGTCCCCAGGGACAGGCTTCTGTGTTCTCTGAGTGCCTCCTCCTCTGGCTGGCTGGGTGCCCTGCTGCCAGCCTGACCATGGCCTGGCTGCCCACCCCGCCCTCGCCTCATCTCCTCACAGCTGCATTTCTCCATCAAAGTACACATTCTGAATCTCCCTCGCTGGGCCCTGGTGATCAAGCCTCTCACTGACTGCCCTCCCGCCCCACGCCTGGCTCCGGATGAGAACAGGGCAGGAGGGGGCTCCACCCCCCAGGAAGTGTCACAGTGCCAGGACACTGGTGGGCTCAGGGCATGCTCTGGCCCAGATCAAGCCAGCCTCCTTTTGCCCCTGCCCTTTTCTGCTCACAGCCCCATTGTCTCCCACCAGGGGAAGCTGCCAAGGCAAGAGGCCTGGAGGGTGGGACTGGATGGCTACCCCACCCCCAACCCCACCCCACACAGAGCTTGGCAGGGGCCAACAACAGGACTGCCCACGAAGGGTCAGGGGCCCCAGATAAAAATGGGATGGGAAAGGTGGCCAGGCCCAGCCTGGGGTTGAGGTCACAGCTGGAAAACCTGGGTGTCGGGAAGAAGTCTGGTCCCTTCCCTGCCTCCCTGTGAGACCAGAGATGAGGCTGTCCTAGGCCTCCAGTTTCTGTTTCTATAAGGGAAGGTTGGGGTGGGGGGCAAAAGGCAAAATGAGATGGGGGAAGGAAGTGAGACTGGGTGGTGTTTTTCCCAGTGGAACAAGGGGAGGGTTAGTTTCTTTCACTGAAAACATAAAACAGAAAGAGGAAAGAGGAAGAGAGAAGAAGGGAGATTGATTTGGCTATTCTGTGAGAGTGAGCTATTTTCTACATCCACTGATTGAAGGTATATAAAGATAGGTCAGATAATGAGAACTTCCTGGAGGGGGACAGAGAGTGGGTAGAAGGGGTGGGAGCTGGTGACCAGAAAGCTATAGCCTCATTCCCTGCCTCATTCTCAAGTTGGGATCTGCCA